CCCCAAAACCCCAAAACCCCAAAACCCCATGATCTAATGTTGAGCTAAACATGTATTATTTTAAATAAAATTTGTGAGATACTTTTGAAAATACTTCGAATGTGTTAAAATAATAAATCAATCAGGATGATAATTCTCGTAGAAATTAAATATAATGCCAAGTCTAGGTTATATAAGTGCTTCTATTTAAATATTCTTCGAAATCATTAATTCTTGATTATCATTTTAAATAATATATTCATCTCAATATAATTCCTTTTAGAAAGTTAATACTTTTCTCGAAGTTTTCGCTTGATGAAGCAATATGCTTATTTTTTAATTTTGGATTATGGTTAAAATTATCAATATAGTGCTGAAAGACATGCTTAAAAGCATCCCATTAAATCAAAAAGCTTAATCTTTAATAGGTAAACTGATGGATAGAAACATCAATTAATTTTATTATTTTTTTTCCTCCCTCATCTTCGATTAAATTCTCCATTTTATTTGGATAAAAAATTGACCCAAGGAAAAATACCATTTCATTGAATAATTAATTTTGATTTGAGGCTGAGTTATCATTTTAAGTTGTTTCTAATTGTAGTGAGATTTTAAATTGTTTGGCAACAAACTTTTAAATAGCGAATAGATAATATTTTTAATGTCGATATCGGCTTACACTTGAGTATTTGCTACATTCCTTGAATTAGTGCAAGTATGTTCTTCTAATCTCTCATATAGTTGTTTTTAATACAACATCCTTTCTTTTTACTGATTTTAAATGAATTTGTTTTTAGATTCTAAGTAGTTCCAGAGATTCTTGGCAATCAAATCTTAGAAAGTATTTTTTCTTAATTTGATTGATCAGTGGAATAGTATTGATAAGTGATATCTTTTAGTCGTATTTTTTGCTATACCTTTAAATTACTATGTTTAAATCTAAGGGCTCCAAATGATCATTCTAATTCTCATGTTAGTAGTTTGATGCTGCTTGGAATGTTGAAGTATTCTTCAAATCTATGCTTTAATTAGGAGATATAGTTGAAAACTCTAAGTCTATATAGTCGTCATTTTGTGATATTACATTATTTTTGAAAACATCTTGATTTAAAGCATTGTCGAACTTATAGTAAGATTGCCTATTATTGGATGAATTCTCCTAACTATTAGAAATGCTAATTAACTATTAGTCTTCCTTAGCATTCATTGAAGCTGGAATTTTATCTGAATAATATTCACCAAATGAGAAGTCATCATCCGAATCTTAAATCTTGTATTTCGAAGCTTAAGAGCCATACTACTAATCCAAGTAATTATCAAGAGGCATCTCATCATATCTTTGCTTGTGATCTTTTATTTTTGTGCTGCATTTGAGAAATTAATCAATTATTAGATCAAATGTTACTGAATCAATGGAGTTCTAAAACATCCTGTTATTTTAAGCAAGTTTAGTAGTATTTATCTTTGCAAGAAATGTATTAAACTTGACTTTATTTTAAAATTTAGTATAACATCAATCCTAATTTCTAATTCAATTCTAATAATCTTGAATGATGGGGTTTTGGGGTTTTGGGG